TAAAACTGCACTTTAAAAAGGAGATGTGCCTCTGAGAATTTCAGGCCACCCGAGTCTTTCAGGTGACCTATTGCTATCTCTGTTCGTTCGTCGTCGTACGTCATTCGGCGGTCGTAAACATTTGAACATTTTTAGCTTCTTCTCTGGAACTACTGAACCAATTTCAAACAAATTTGAAATAACCCATTTATGGGTAAAAGAGGAACACAAAATTGTAATTTTCAGGGTCCCTGGGGCCTGAGGGGTGGGACCAAAACTACTAAAATTAATGCAGTTTTTTAAATTCTTTTTTACTTCTAGACATCAAGCAGTGAAACTGTGGAATGATTGTAATAAGCATTGAATCCTCTACACTGTACCAAAATTGTAAAATTGTTTGCCCCAAGGTCAGGTGATCTATATGCTAGGGCTGGGCTAAATAGATTATATAGTAAAAATACACTATTTCTTTGAAAATCTTCTTTTCTGCTCCTGGGTAAAATTAATTAAGTACATAGTTACGATGAGAAAGAATTCCTGTTCTACAGTAGTGAATTCCATGGCCTTTGGACAGGGGTTCTGGTGTTAGGACGGGGCTTAAATGATTATATAGTTAACATGCATTAATTCTTTGAAAAATACATAGTTATGATGAGGAAGGGTGCCTCATCTAAAATCGTGAACTTCATGGCCCCAGGGTCAGGAGTTCTAGTGTTAGGGTGCAGGGCTCTTTTGATTATATAGTAAACATGCATTTTTAAAATGGAAAATCTTCTTCTCTGTCCCTTGGTATTGTAACGTGTTTAGGGGTCGTACCTGGTTGATTCCAGGATCTCGGTAAAGATAATATTTACAATAAATAATTTTCCTCTTAAAAATGATTAGATAAAAATATTGGCCTGCAAATATATACAAATAGGGCCCTTCCCTTACTTAGGGGAAAATCACACTTGATTGTCGGCCTTATATTTACAAAATCACTGGTTCGCCCAATAGCACCGGACTGACACCAATATTGCCTTATTCAGGCTCGTAGTGTCAGTCACGGCGCTAAGTCCAATCCCCTAGTGGTCAGCCTCTGACAACAGAAGATACTGAATTGTCCTTATTCAGGACGCACAGTAATCCACTGCGATCAGAGACTTGCACTATTCTAAAAAGCCTCAGAGGGTTGACTTGCCTCTATGGTCGGCCTCTAACTGGTTAGTCACAAACCAATACTACAAATATATTGTGGCAAGCCTTTACCGATAGGCAATCCACCTAGTATTGTCAAATAATTGTGGCAAGCCTCAATCTTAGGCAATCCACCCAACTAACCTTATATCGGTCTTCTTCTCTCCGTTGCTTGGACTTAAAAGAACCCTGCAGCTTAGCTGCGCTTGCTTATATACCTTGGTTTAAGGTCACATGATCAGCTTCAGCCAATCAGAGATCTCAAGGCCCGACTTGCATAATTAGAATACACTATACTCAAACCCATCAATTGTTACAGTATTAAACTAACTACATGTGTAGTTAAAATGAGGAAGAGTGCCTCTTTGAAAATTGTGAATTTCATGGCCAAAGGATCAGGTTGTGAATTTCATGGCGCAAGGACCAGGATTTCTGGTGTTACTTAGGGTGGGGCTCTAATCATCAAATGGTGAAATTGCAATAAATCTTTGATAATTAATCTTCTTCTTTGCTCTCAGGTATTTAACAAACTGACTACAGACATATAGTTATGATATAGCTATGATCGTTCTTCCAGAACTGTGAACTCCAAGCCCCCCGGAACAGGGGTATCATAGAGGGCTGGGGTTGGAGGGGTGTCTTTGACTATATACTAAAAATGAATTATTTCTTTGAAATCCACTCCATGATGTTATTCAAACATTTATGATGAGCAAGAATTGTGAAATGTGTGGACCTGAGGGTCAGGGGTTCTTGTGGGGTGGGGACACTACTGAGTAATGCTGAATATTACTTAGAGTGGTTGAAATGCATTTTTTTATTCCCCTACTTTGTCTACGGTTATAAAGTTACCAATCTACATAAGCGTCGGAACCGGGGGGGGGGGGGGGGGGGGGGGGGGGGCTAGGTTTCTTTACCTTTTCCTAGTATAGACATTGAACATTGCTGCGTAGGTTTAGCCCCCCACTTTCCACAGACATGTTGCAGAATAGGTTTAAAATAAGGAATTCAAAGTTGTGCTGTTTAAAAAAAATTGGTACTGAATATCGAACCTACCCCCCCCCCCCCCGCCCCAATATCATGGCCTCTTTGGTTTAAAACATAACCCAAAGTCAATTGAAAAACTCATTATTTTGGATTTCAATGATTTATTCATGATTTATTCTGTAATATTTTTCATGAGTAAAATCTTAAATCCTAGCTACTTTCATTGCAGAAAAGTACTGCTTGAAAAATATCAGAGATGAAAACTTTAAAATATCGGAAATTAAAACAGTTCCGGAAATAAAATGCAGCCATTGAAACCATGAGTGTCTTGAATCTAATCCACAATATCGTACAAGTTACATTAAAACATTATCTATGGAAAACATCCTTAATTTTGTATCGTATAATTTTTGCCCGTTCACACATACAAGAAATTTTGCCCCGTTTTAAATTCGCCCAGTCACAGTTCTGTTTAAGATTTTAAACTGTGTTTTTTTAAATCGCCCCATTTTAAATTCACTCACATGTAGTTGTTGCCATGACAACAATTGATGGAACATTTGATATATTTTTTCAGCTCTCTCCACAAATACAATCACCAACACATTAATTTAATATTCATTTCCATGACGAACACTTATCCAAAAGTCAAATCTCTTTACAGGAGGCATAGAGTACATTGGTTGCCATGCACTGGGAATCGTTGCCATGTGTTGATTAAAGACGAAAAAAAAATTAAGATTGACCAACATTTCATTGTCAATTTTGCTCAACCGGATTTTTCTGACTTATTTTGAATAAGCCTTAATAAGATTACACGAATACACACCAAAATCACCTTTCTTCGCCTTGTTGCTATGGAGAACCTGCCGTTGCTATGGAGATAAAGAATTATGCAATATTCAATAATGTGCTAGGGAGACCGAATTTAATTATACTATTCTAAAATCTGTATCTCGTTTATCATAAATAACCGTTCATTTGATTTTTCCGTAAACTTTTTACATTGTTTCTCATTTTATGCATCAAAAAGCCCATTTTTGTTGCTAGGCAACGGATTCGATTTTCAAAAGAGCCCATGGATTTGACTTCAAATTCTAAAAGAGAAATACCTCTGCTTTTATGTGAGATACATGCAACAACTGTATTAATCTGGCCATTTTTAAAATTTGGCCTTGAATATTGCCAAAATCACAAAAAATGCTGAATAAGCAAAACTTGTAAAACATATGTACCTTCCAATGTCTACCACAGAACTGACTTAAGACCTAAATATTCTTTATTACATTATTAGAACACAATAAATGTGTCTCTTTATTATACCCATAAGTAAGAATAATTCTCATGGTATTTACGTGTTATTTTAAGCCTCAAATATAGGTGATTTTTTGTCCTTCAACACTGAAAAATCCACCCGTTGCTAAGGAAATTTCTTTGGCCGGGTTTCCATGGTTACCATGACTCAAAACATTTTTCATTTTACAAACATTGTTCATACTTCAAAATAAATCTATGAGTGGAAAATCATCAAATTCTGAAAACCTTCATGTATCACTTTTTTACAGTTTTGTCTGATTTTTATGTGGACTGGTACTTAATTTACAAGTTTGAGATAAAGAGGTTTAACTGTATATATAATTATACAATATTGGGGATATGTCGTGTAAAATTCTTGTAAATATTAATTTTAGAATGAAGAATGAATACCCTAAGAGAGAGAAAGAATGAGAGAGAGAGAGAGAGAGAGATTTTCGAACAAATTTCTACACATTTAAATAATTAAAATCATGCAAGCAAGTGTTTTTCTAATTTTATTTTTAAAGTTTTACCCCCTCCCCCTCTCCCCCAAAAAACATGATGCATAAGGCGTGTATAGCAACTGATATGTTTTTATTATTAAAAATATCACACTACATATCATTTTTTAGTGAATGAGGTTAAAAATCAAACATGAAACGAATGAAATGTAACAAGATTGTTTAGACATCGGGATCGAGATGCCTTTCATATCTCGATACGGATACGGATACGGATACTTATACGGATACGTCAGATAGAACAATCTCTATTACCCCGTATTAAGATTATCTGGAGACAGGGACTTCAGGTGTTTTTGCCACAAAAACTCGTTTTTACCTTAAGACAGGGGCTTAAGGTAATCCTTAATATGACATTGTTACTTAGAGACAGGGGGCCCGTTTCACAAAGATTTCCTAAGATATTTCCTAAGATACAACTTAGGATATGCCTAAGTTATAACTTAGGATGTTCGTAAGTTTTGTCATAGCTGTTTCACAAAACTTTCTTATCTTATTTTTTTCCTAAGTCATATCTTAAAATATTCATATATAACCTTTACGAGCTAATTGATTTCACCTCTCCCCCAAAATCCCCTCACCAAAAAATTGTGAGGTAAAAATTAATTTGTATGCAGAAATTAATAGGCAGTCTCTTTGTAATATGAGATTTGTTTTTCTTAAATAGGTGTATTGTTACAACATGTATGTTAAACACACACATGTACGTGCACAGAAAAGTCACATAGTATCAACGATCAATCGTACATTTCATGCACGTAAATTGATTTGTACTTCCAACTCTTACACAATTATTATGTACATGTCTTGGTGGGTAGAAGAAACGATGGGGAAAAGTGTTAAAAACACTAATAAAAACATTTTATCTAATTACAAAGTACTGGAAAACAAATATTTTTGGTTTCGGCAACCTAAATCGAACACTCCAGTCAGTAGTTAAAGTGTCTTCCATTTCGTCATGAATGAGTGCATTGCATTGTCTAGTCCATGTAAACAGTCCGTGCTTAAAAGTATACATGCTTTCCCGCCCACAAAATCATAATGGCTCGACCAAAGAGGAACCCAAATTTTTCAACTGCAGAAATTTCTATATTGACTGAAGAAGTGGAGAAAAGGAAGAACGTGATATTCTCCAGACAGAATTCATCTGTGACAAATCAGGCGAAAAAGGGAGAATGGGACTTAATCTGTGAGAAAGTTAATGCTGTAAATACTTCTCATTTACGTACAGCAGATGAACTAAAAAAGAAATGGAGTGTTCTATGTAGTGAGACAAAGAAAAAAATTTCAAAATTAAAGCGCGAGCAAGTGAGGACTGGTGGCGGTCAACTGCCAGCGGATTGCAGCGTGACCCCAATGGAGGACAAAATACAGTCCATTATTGGAGAAACTGCATTATCTGGAGTTGATGGGGGCATTGACACTCTTGAAGGTAATTCTGGATAAAGTTGGTTTCTTCTAAATTAATAAGATCATGGCCACCCACTCCACCCCCAATAATTTTGCCGATACATAGATAACTACTGGCAGTATAAAACAAAGCTACTATATGTTTGTGTCCCTTACAAAAAATCTGATGACTGTTTTTTTTTTTTTCTTTTTTGCTTAACAAAGGAATTTTTGGTAATTAATAGTGGCCCCAACTGAAACTGAATGGCTCCCCACCCAAAAAAATATAAAAAAAAAAAAAAGGGAAAAGGGGGGGGGGATAAGGTTCGAACTCCAGTACCAACAATTTTCTAACAAACACCACCACTTTCCCCATTTTTAACCTATACTAAGACGTATCTGTGGAAAGTGGGGGGGGGCTAAGCTTACGAAGATATGTTTAATGTCTATACTAAGTATATATTTGGAAAAAAGTGGGGGACTAAGCCCCCCCCCCCCCCCCCCCTAGCCCCCCCCCCCCCCCCGGTTCCCACGCCTATGAAGTGTACCTATTTTTTTTATAAGTATACAAGCAGTCAATAGAATAATCAGATATATCGTTTAAATATACATGTAATTTATTCATAAACTTGGTATAAATGTGTGGTTAATATAATTTCTAGAGGAGTCTAAGGAGTCTAATGGTATGACAGGAAAGGGGACACTGATCACCCCAGCGACCGACCAGTCACTTGATGGATCAACGGATTCTATAGATTCATCTACATCTTCAAACAGACAGACTTCTACAGTGAGCGGTAAATATGTATTCGTCTTCTATTCTGTAAGGAGGGAAGGGGTATTATAAAAAAATAATTACATATACAGTATGCTATAGAATGTTATTACATTATTGATTAGTATTATCATTTTTATTTTATTTTTAAATAAAAGCTATTTTTTTTTAAATTTAAAATTATATTTTAACGTCATTTCATTGTGCATGTACTCACTTGTGAGGATTTACATGTATATGCATATAAATATATATAATTTCTGTTCATTTATCAACAGCAAAGAAACGTAAGATAGATATTAAATCACATTCGCTGGACTTGATTGATATTGAAAAGGAGCGACTGGATATAGAAAAGAAGAGACTTGATGTGGAAATTAAAAGACTAAATGTCGAGGAACAAAGGCTAACTATAGAAAGGACACGACTACAGCTAGAGCAGGAAAAACACAGCATAAAACTCTGCCAGCTGGGCATTATTTCCAATGCCACTATTTCTTCTCAACAATAAATATTTACTTTATATCTATTTATTCTTATTTACTTTGCACACAATACTTGTCACAGGTTACTCTATATGAGTTGATGTACATATAAGAATATAAGATATTGTTATTTAAAACCTAGCATCAATCAATCGTCTTCTAACTTCTGATCCGTCGTTCAATGTCCCACGATACACATTGTCATTTCCGTCATTAACAACGGCTCTTCCAACTGGGTTTGGGACTCTATTGTCAATGCATATATTATGTAGAACTGCAGTTGCAACTATAATATTGCAGGTTCTTTTAGGTGAGAATTGAAGTGTACCACCTGATGTGTCCACACAACGAAATCGCATTTTCCATACACCAAAGCATCTTTCAATGACGTTTCTTGTTCTCATATGAGCCGTATTGTAGGCATTTTCTTTACCGGTGGTTGGGTTTAGAACAGGTGTGAGTAAATATGGTTTAAGGGGATAACCACTGTCACCTAATAGCCACCCTCTTGATATTATCTTATTTTCTAAAATTTGACAGAGTGTAGAATTGTTCCAAACAAATGAGTCATGTGATGACCCTGGCCATTTTGCTACTACATTTAGAAATTTTAAATTGGCATCACACACAGCCATGGTGTTAATTGAATGATAATTTTTCCTGTTCACGAAGACATTTTCTTCAAAATTTGGAGACTTAATTCCAATATGTGTTCCGTCTATTGCACCAATGACATTCGGAAAGCCACTTATTCTTGAGAAATTGAACATAGTATTAGTAATTGCAGTATCATCAGTGGGCATTTTTATATATCTTGGACTGATTTTTACTAGGGATTCAGACACATCCCTAACAATTCTTGATATGCTTGCTTTACTTATACCATGCAAGTCAGCAGTAACTGTTTGAAAACTCCCTGTGGCGAAAAACCGCAAAGCAACCATGACTTGGAGGGATGGTGGAAGTGAGTGTGATCTTCTTGTAGGCCTCCTGATATCGTTACCGATCTCCCCACATATACTCTGAATCAAATGGCGAGGAAGTCTAAACTTTGAGATAATCTCATCATCGTCCATATAATCCATTGGATCATTTCTGTCGCGAAATATTCTTTCTCGTCGAAAGAGATTCCTATGGTTTATAGTAACATAAGCAGCCGCCATATTTAGTTTGATCTTAAGACATCGATTTACCTTTCCTAAAGTTACGACATAACTTAGGAATATCCTAAGATAAGACGAGGTTAGTGAAACGGATAAGTAATGAACTTAGGAAAAAGTTCTTTCCTAAGATATAACTTAGTCCTAAGTAGGCTTTGTGAAACGGGCCCAGGGGCTCTAAGTATGGTTAATGTTAGTAGTTTTTCTTGAGACAGGGGCTCAAGTAAAACCTTAACTTCTAAAGTATTGTCCTTTCACGTATTTTGATTTTGTGTTACACTTTCATTTGATCCTTATAGTAATTGTCAGCAAGAAAATGGTGTGACATTTAATTTTTGTTTTGTCTATGATGATGTTGTTGAATGGGGGCGGTAACAAGCCAGCATGAGCTTCTTTTTCTTCTTGCGCCGGTATTACAATGCTACCTTGTTACGGTGGCAGATGACGCCCCATATTGTCTTTTTGTTGTACATGTATATATGCTGACATTTTTTAGATAGATGTTTTTTGGATTAACAATTTTTACAATTGAGAGTCAGGGACGTTTTTTAGTTTTAACACAGGTGCTTAATTGTTGTCAATAGTATTTTTTGTTTCTTTTTCTAGTCAGAATCGTGCACCGACCTTGCGGTTTCATAGCATAATATTTTTGTCCCTAGTCCTTTTAATTTGATTGTATGTATTTTTACTGTTTGTCATTTATTGCACTTGTTTGAATAAATGACCATTCTTATTCCTTTACTTTTTGTTACTGTTATATTTTCGGGGAGATTGCCAAACAGCATAAATACGGTTTATCTTTCTCTTATTTCCCTCCTATCATAAACATGTAGCATCAATGGCAAATAGCTGTTCAATATTTTAATGAAAGCCTATATGACCGCTACTATTGACAAATTTCTCTTAGTACACTGCATGGTATTTAAAAAAAATCAACCAAAAAAATATTTATAAATCTTGATACAAATAGCAAGCATAAAGTTTTTTTTTTATAACGAGCTCTTCAAGGTGATTTGAAAATAATCAGCAATTATATTCCACTTAACACTATATGTGCGTTAAGATAGTGTCTTTATGACAAAACCAATATTAAAAATGGCAACAAAACTATCCCAAAATGAATAGTCACAACTGATACTGCCAAGTGCAATCTTATTGATCACCACATATGTTATTTTATGACGGAAACGTGATAAATTACTTTATATTGCATGCATTCCTAAGAAAGTCACAGAGTTTATTCCATCAAAGCAATACATGTATCGTGAGTTAGACTCCGGCCTTATACAAAATCATTCATAGATAGGAAGTCGTTTATTATTCTTCTGTCTTGACAATTGTCGATAGAGGTGAAAGTCAGGTGCTTTTAAGATGAGATCATAAATACATGAAATCTTTGTCATGGTTATTATTAAAAAAATAATTATCCAACATTTTTTATGGCTCTATGCACAGATTTTTCGTCATTTATATATGATACAATAAATGTGTTTTCATTGCCATTGCTCTTTTGGATAAATGACCTCTTTTTATTGTACCATACAATAAGTCAATAAATCTATTTTAATACAAAACGATAATTAATAAGAATATATCATTGAGCTACATATCTGCAGTTTCAGCTGAAAGACATTCAATATTTCATAAATGGCTTAAAAGTCTTTAAGGTTGTTCATTTTTTTTTATCTGGTTAAAGTTCGTCTTGGCCAGTGCCTCAAACCCAGTTTACAATGAGGAGGCATTTGTTCATTAGAATGCTTAGATAGATATTAAGGACATTATCTGTACACCAGAACAAATTAAAGAGTATATGTATTCTTTAAACAGTGTTGAAGGAAGTTAAAGTCAAAAATTTTAAATAACTGGCGATAAAAGCTATAATATTTGGTCAAAAACTTTTCTTTAACAACATTTGAATATTTGAATGCTTTTCTTATGTTTCTCTGCCTTTAGAAAATAAAAAAATGCTTAAAGAATTTAATAAATTCATACAAGTTCCAGCTGATAAAGCATTGCTTTATATGCTCTATTAATTCATATTATTCTTTTGCTGATATTTTGATTCCCACATATTTTGAAATAAACTGCACCACAGCTCAATACATGTATTTTGTTAAAAAAAACATTCAGTGGATAGATCGAATGCTAGATTTGTATTGTGTTAATAATTATTATCAATCGTCTTCATTTGTCATGAATTATACTTCAAGATCAAAGATCATAAAATTTATTTGATCGTCAGGACGTTAGTTTAAATTTAACACTATGCATAGAAATACTTTCAAATAATTTGTTATTAAAACAATCATACATCGTAATTCGTTTCTTAAAACTGAACACAATCACAATTCCTCAAAGGAATGTGTCTGCTATTTTTGATCAGATTCCCGCTATATCTGAGAAGTCCTATATAAAGCAGGTGACATACTAATGATAAATCACTCTTTGTGTAATCAGTCGTCACCGTGGTAGACAGTCGTATGCTATACAGCACTCGGTAGTGACAAAAATAACTATACTTCATATGCAGGAAAGTGAAATACCGAATTAAAGGAACTTAAAATAGTTGCACAGCTCAGTCCAGTATACAAACAAAGTTTAAAACAAATATTTACACATTTACACATTACACATTTA